CGTTGTGCTGGAGCCCCCAAATAATAGATAAGGTGAAATAAAATTGATTTGTTGTTGTACAAATGCATGTTTTGGTACAGGGCTTCCTTGGGACTTACTGAACAATATTATTATAGGATAGAAGCCTCTTTCAACAATTTCATGTGAGGGTGTGGTGGACAGGGGCGTCGTCAAAGAGCCCCCAAATAAGAAATAACTAAAGGTAAAATAATAACATTGATTTGTTGTTGTACAAACGCAATTTTTGGTACGGGGCTTCCTTATGACCTTCTGAACGATATGAGGGTATAGGAGCTCCCGGCATGATATTTATATTTGTGTGTGAAGGGGGCGGGGTGTCGTGTCAGAGCCCCCATATGTCATATATATTTTAAGATCACATTGGTTTGTGGTTATACGGCCGTCTGTTTTTGGTTAAGGGCTCTCTTAGGATAGGACCTACGGTACTGAACAATGTTTAGAAAGGAGCCTCTGAAAAACATTCACTTATTGGGAAGGGGGCTGGAGCGTTGTTTCGGAGCCCCCTCATCATACACAGTGCATAATCAGGTTGATTTTGTTTTACCTGATTACTGAATACTATACTGAAAAGAAATTCATATAATGGTGTGGGGACGGGAGCGTCGTCCCGGAGCCCGAAATAATATATATGGTAAAATAACATTAATTTGGTGTTGTACACATGTCATATTTGGTTCAGGGCTTCTAAGGACTTACTGAAGTATTAGGGTTGGAGCCCACAACAATATATTCATTATGTGTGATTTGGGGGCAGGGCGACATACTGGAGGCTTCTTCTTGTCTCATTGATAAAGTTTGATGGACTCGATTTGTCTTACAAGACCATGGTCAGCCTTTCGAAAACCTGGAAAGGCTCAGAGTCAATGGTCATCTTCTAATAGTCCTGTAGAAATTTTTCATACCTGGAAAAGTTGATAAGTACAAGGTTTTTTTTGTTGATTTGTGTTCTAGATGAGAAATGACGTAAATTCAGCTTGTTTTTTTTTTTTGGGGGGGGGGGGGGGGGAGGACACTTTTTTTTTTTGGTCTCGAAATTTGGAAATTTTGCTCCGTTGGGGGAGGGGGGTAAGGTCAACTTTTTTGTCTGTGTATGGTACATGTACTTGTACATTAAAAATGGTAATACACCAGTCTTTTTTTTTTTTCTTGTTTTCATTTGCCCTGTCTGTACCGGCTAACTTGGGTCGCCATGTGCGGTTTGCTGTGGAGGTTTCTTCATGAAAAGTCCGGTAGACCATTTGTAGATGTGAGGGGTTTATTTCACAAACATCACCCTGACATTGCGTGAATAAAGGATCATGTTTTCTGTACAGAACAATTTGGTGAGGAGCTCTGAAGAAACGTCACAGTGTTGCATATTTGTGTTTCACTAAATTCAGTTTCTCTTGACGTTTCATTAGAGAAAGAAGACGATTCACTGTACCGTCCTCGACTCTTAATCTTTGTTTGAATCAAGTTCCCCTGCCTCCGCGCGTAGCGCGGAAGCTCTGAAGTTTTATTAGATTATTAAAGAAAGAAGACGATTCGTTGTACCATTCTCGACTCTTTATCCTTATCTAAATTCAGTTTCTTTTGACGTTTCATTAGAGAAAGAAGACGATTCGTTGTATCGTCCTCGACTCTTAATCCTTTTTTTGTATCAAGTTCCCCTTCCTCCGCGGAAGCTGTAGCGCGGAAGCTCTCAAGTTTTATTAGATTATTAAAGAAAGAAGAAGATTCGTTGTACCATTCTCGATCGACTCTTAATCCTTGTCTGAATTCAGTCCTCCCCCCCTCCCCTCCCGCAGAAGCTTTGACGTTTCATAAATTATTAGAGAAAGAAGGCGATTCGTTGTACCGTTCTCGACTCTTAATCCTTTTTCTTCCTACGTCCTCTTCCTTTCTTCTTTTTTTCTCTTTTTTTTTTGGCCGGCGTTTTTTTGGGGGCGACCGCCCCCACCGCCCCCTGGCTACGCGCCTGTTAGGGGGTTTAACCCCCTCCCCCTTGGGCTGCCAAGTGAAAATGCGATGTGCATAGAAAAACGCCACATCATGAGAGAATATTCAACTCATCTGGTAACTTAACCAAACACATGAAAACTCTAGATATAACTGTATATTAAACTGTTACTTAATTTAAAAAGACGTCATCATGCACTGCTTTTCATGGTCTCTATTATGTTAGTAGATGCCAGGAAAACATCACTTACGGGGGTCAAAATTAGCACACACACAAAAAAAAAAAAAAAAAAAAAAAAAAAAAATCGCCTCGCCGCTATGCGGCTCGTCATTGGGTAAAAACAAAAAATTGCCTCGCCGGTATATACGCGGCTCTAGGACAATCCTCTGCATCGTCATTGGGTCCACAAAAAAAACTGTTATAAAATGCCTCAATACCCTGAGCTCCGCCCCTTGACCCCTCCGCCAGTCCTTTGCCCCTAGACCCCACGCCAATTTATGCTACGCTCTACCTGATCATAAATACTTTTAATTAGCCTCCCCCACCAGTGGCAGATCCAGGCCCCCCCCCCCTCCCTTGAGAAAAAAATCATGTAGAAACACGTGATTTTTACCTTCTTGTGGGGTTGGGGCCCCCCCCCCGCCCCCCTGGCGACTTTTCGGCCGGCGCGATTGGAAAAGTTGATAAGTACAAGGTTTTTTTTGTTGATTTGTGTTCTAGATGAGAAATGACGTAAATTCAGCTTGTTTTTTTTTTTGGGGGGGGGGGGGGGGGGGGGGGGGGAAGGACACTTTTTTTTTTTGGTCTCGAAATTTGGAAATTTTGCTCCGTTGGGTGAGGGGGGTAAGGTCAACTTTTTTGTCTGTGTATAGTACATGTACTTGTACATTAAAAATGGTAATACACCAGTCTTTGTTTTTTTTTCTTGTTTTCATTTGCCCTGTCTGTACCGGCTAACTTGGGTCGCCATGTGCGGTTTGCTGTGGAGGTTTCTTCATGAAAAGTCCGGTAGACCATTTGTAGATGTGAGGGGTTTATTTCACAAACATCACCCTGACATTGCGTGAATAAAGGATCATGTTTTCTGTACAGAACAATTTGGTGAGGAGCTCTGAAGAAACGTCACAGTGTTGCATATTTGTGTTTCACTAATGACTGACAACTTAAAAAATGTATAACTTTCCTATTTTAGTTGGATATTGCTCGAACTTTTTCCAATTTTTTTGATTCATTTTCTGCTTTTGTTAAAACCGAATTAATATCAGGGTGGACTTCCCTTTGAACAAAATGGTATGTGCCTACATTATGCTACCTGCTCATTCATCCCTCCATTATGATTATGGTCTCATATAATAGAAGAGTATATGAACTTTTCAATAATTTGTAAGTTTAACAATTAATTCGGGCTGTCTGGAATTAGTGATGCATGACTTCATGATCATGATTTTGGTGTATGAAAGAAGAAAAAAAAAAAGCTTTCCAATCCTTACCCAAGGAATAATTTGAATATATGGAGTTATTTACCCGCAAACTTGGGTTACCTTTTTTCAGGAGCACCCTGAATTGGATAATCTCAAGCATGCATTGAGAGCATTTATTGCTGATCTTTGTAAAATTGGACTGCTGTGATGAATGAAAGATGAATGAGAAAATGAGGGAAAGAAAAAGTGCTTGACAAATATATATGACATTGCCAATCTTTGTAATCTAAGTATGGTAAGTAAGGAAGCAACCAGGACACCGACAGCTTTAAAAATAAAATTGAGTTCTGGTCATGCGAATGCATTGTGAAAGGTACGGTGTGGAATCGATCAGAAAAGGTTGATCATCTAGCATTGGTTTGGACTAGTAACACTTACTGGTAGCTTTTATTCGTCACAAAAAAATATATAGGCACAGCCAGGTATCGTGAAGTTAATTCATACAACAAACTTTTAATTCCAATTTCTACACAAAAATATATGCTTTATATTCATCCATACAGTTATAAAACCTGTGCTTTGAAATTTACCATATGAAATTATGAAACAATGCTTAAAATACAGTGGAGCTAATATTTTACATTATACCTTTGAATTTCATTGATGAATTTACTGACAATGTATAACTTAAGACATATGGGTAACAGATTGGCAAGCCATACATGTTGCATAAAAAATGAAAGGAATAACTTCAACAAATACATTTATTTCAGAATCCATATTTCCCCGAAATCTAGTTGGAAGAAAAGGAGACTTTTAGGTCTGTGAACCATTTGACTACTGAATACTTGGATTCCCATGGGCTTTAAAGGCATCGTTTCACAATGTTAAATCTGAGGTGCACGGCCCTACGTGTTATCAGTGTCTGTGATATGGTGTAATAGTTGAAGCCCTAAAAAAAAAATTGTGCTTCAAAATGATCAAGAAGTGCCTCAAAAAAATAAAAACCTTTGAGTGACCAGTTTTACCATACTCATTTCCCCCAATTGATTGTAGTGTTATGAAAACTGTTTAGCAAACGGTTTTCAAAATTTGTAATTCCAATCATAAATATCTTTATAATCAGACAAGCGATCGGCTTGTAAAAGTCATGGGGTTCCTGACTGACCTAAAGGTGTATAACTATCAATGCAGCACGAGCTAAATTCAGGATTTTGTTTCAGAATCTGAGATAAAGTTACCAGATCCCTTTAACACAATTTGTTTAATATTTCAACATCACTTTGATGACACCAAGCAGCCACTTTAGATTGTCATCCACATTTTCAAAATAATACTACATATGGAATGATGTCATTCTGCCAGAGATGCCAACCTCTTGACACAAAAAACAGACTGAGTATCCTAAAAAAAAAATCAGATTTTGGAGAGAAAAATCAGATTTTCACGAAATCTCGACACTACCACTGGCCCGTCGGCCCGTGCCAGTAAAATTTCAAAAAAATGTTTTACTGGTCAAGTAAAATGTTTGCTCTTTCATTGAAATTTAATGAGAAAATTGTAAAGCAAAGTTTTAGTTGGGTATGCAGGGGTTTACTTGTACATGTTTTTATGGGTAAAAAAAAAAAGTGATTAGATGAAAAATCATATTTTAATATCGGATTTCACTGTTATTATCGTACTAAATACGATTTAATCGTACTGGTTGGCATCTCTGTTCTGCCATTTACTTGTTCATGAAAGTTTTAATTGCATTAAAACCTTACCTTGATTTAAGTAATGAAAATTCAATTCAAGACTTATTGTCAAAGATTTATTTATTTATTCATTCGGAAGTGAGCGAACGGGTGGTCCGTCTAGGCAAGATGTAATAACAATTACACAAAATTACTCAACAGATACATGTAAAATGGTCATACCTCACCAAACTATTATAGTTTGTCATTCATTGTATATTATCCTTCCAATTAGATTGGCAGATAGATAGTTCATTAGCAGTCTTACAACACTTAACCCTTCTGTTAATTATGCTTAATCATATGTTAAACCTTGTTTATTTACTGTTTACGTCTAGAATTTGTGTAAATTCATTAGTAATCTGTATATGTTACACCAGTGAAAATCAAATATCAAGAAATGGACAATAAATACTAAATACAAATACAAAGGCCGAGCTATTTTGAAACTGCATATCCGGAGGGGGGGGGGGCGCATTTGGCTATCTAGAATAGTTGACGGTGGCCAAAAGGAATGTTATTCAAGAAAAAACAGAAAAAAACATTCTTCTTACAACACTTGTTCTAAAACTCGTACATTGTACACACAAGATCATTGAAAACCTCCATTTTGTTTGTGACTTTGGTCACGAAGTTGTGCTATATCTCTGCAACCGTACCCACGATTTTTTGCCAATAGGATGCAATTTGTAGGGCTTATAGAAGCCTTCCTCTGCACTCAGCATTCTTACAAAGACATTTGATCTCCTTTCCGGGGACACATCCTACTTCGTACATGTAATCCCAGTTCAGCTCGCTGCCTGCTCGGATGAATCTGGAATAAAAGACATTACATAGTAAAAAAAAAATAATATTATAATTATACATGTGTAACAGATACTACACTCCTGACAACGGATAGTCAACCTGTTCGAAACGTCGAGCCACTCCCGCCACCCATCCTCTCCAAGCGCTATAGTTCTCCTTAGAACTATAAGCTAAGAAAGATAACCAACAGTCTTTTTCAAGACTACACCAACAGTCCTTTTCAGGACTACACACCCTCAAGAAAGATTACCGAGAGTCCTTTTCAGGACTCCTCAATCCTTTCTCTCTCTCACAGGGTGCACCCGCAAGCCTACTGTATAGATACTACATTGATATACATGTACACATTCATCAATATGAACCAAAACTAAAAAGATATTTAAAAATCTAGATGGAACATTACCACAATTTTCAGAAAAACAGAGACATACTCAAGGGGCCCGTCTCACAAAGCCTTTTTTCAATGACAAATGACAAAAGTCAGTGACAAATCTGCTGATAACCAATCAGAAGCAAGGATTTCAGTAGCTTATAACAAAAACTGTCATTTGTCACTGATGACAAGTTTTGTGAAACGCCCCCCAGTAGTAAGATGTGCAGTCATGTGGCTTTGATCACTTCATTGTAACAAAAAAAAATGAAGAAAAGTGGTTGATACTTACTGAGCTGCAAAGAAAGCGACCCATGGAAAGCGCAGATCATGTGAATCAACAAAGACATTCTGCACAAACAGATTAGGTCTACAGCTATGCTGCAAGATAAAAGAAAGAATATAGATCTCAAATGAGATTGTAGAAAACTAACTATAAATATCTTACTGTACACTAAAACTCAGAACCTGAAGCTCTCGGGCGGGACCCAGGTTTTAGTCTCAGCCCTAACAAAATAACTGAAATACAGGATTTTCTTAATATGCATGTAGTGTGTTAGTCATTGAATAAAGATATTAAATAAGAATATCGCAGTTATTTGTTGTGGGCGTCCTATGACGTGCATTGAATATGTTTTTTTTTTAAAGGGATCTGGAAACTTTGTCTCAGATTCTGAAACAAAATTCTGAAACCAATAGAAGGTCATGAAATTATAGAAAAGCGTTGCTGAAAAAGGGAGTCTAAACCATGGATTATAATAGCAATAGTGAAATCATGTAAGAAAAAGATAGAGCTATACAAAAAGTATTTGAAGAACCCTTCTGCATACAGGAAAAAAGCATACCGACAGTATCAAAATACTTTAACTTCAATTATTTTAAGGTCAAAAGAATCTTACTATTATTACATTGATCGCGCTTAAGCCATTCACTATGTTTTGACCGATTGAATACAAAAATTGGACTTAGCTAATGCTGTAATGATAATTATAAACCTTTAGGTCAATCAGGAAGCCCGTATGATTATCAAGATATTTATGATTGAAATTAGAAATTTTGAAAATCGTTTGCCAGACGGTTTTCATAACACTACAGTCTATTGGGGATACCGAATATGGTAAAACCGGTCACTCAAAGATTTTAATTTTTTTGAGGCACTTCTTGATCATTTTGAAGCACAATTTTTTTAGAGCTTCAATATTACACCATATCACAGACACTGATAACACGTAGGGCCGTGTATCTCAGATTTAACATTGTTAAACGATCCCTTTAAGATGAGGTAAATACATGATGGATCATCTTACGTTGAGATATCTGCCCAGGTTTCCCATGTGCTTGGCATCCATCACATAACAGTGCTCCTCACCAAAGAGATTTCTTGTGCTCGGATGAGATGGTTTCTTTTCTGATAGATAAGGTTGTAAATATATAGATTAAGTGCATTATAATAATAATAATAACAAGTCTTGTTTACCCAGGGTAGCCTCATCAGTATTTATACTGTTCTCCCTGAGGGCCCTGCAATCATATTATTACCCCGGTCATCGGATTCAGGTTTAGCCGCACCCAATGTATGCACTCCCTGTGGAGCATTCCAGCCAGGTGTCATTTTTACAAGAGCACACTTGCTAATCTAAGCACATTAGCTTTTGCATCGTACCGGGTACCTATTTAACACCTGGGTGGAGAGTGGCAAATGTAGATCAATGTCTTGCCAAAGGACATTAATGCCGTGGCGGGACTTGAACCCCGTACCTTGTGATCCACAGTCCGGTGACATATCCACTCGTCCACGACACCTCCATACAGAGGATACAGAGGAACACTACCATAACATGATTATTTTACCTGTTCCACTTCTACATCTTCTTTCATTTGGACCCCCACTGTACATGTATGCTTAAAGGACAATGAAACCTAACAAACTTCAGCTGGAAATATTATTCAAATTTGTCAGCCCCCCCCCCCAGAAAAAAAGGGGAAAACTAGATGGAATTTTGACTGCGCGCAGTCGAAAATGATGCCTCCGCCATAGAGCAATTTAAACAAGTTTGGAGTTTAAATCTCCAGTGGTTCTTGAGATATCATGATAACAATCTCAATGTATGGAATTTCATAAGTTGACCTCTGTGACCCTTGACCTTTGACCTACGTGCTCCAAAATCTAATCAGATTGTCTTCCTATGGTGATACACACTATCATTAAGTTTGAAGTTTAAATCTCCAGTGGTTCTTGAGATATTATGATATGGTGATACATACTATCATTAAGTTTGAAGTGAAAATTCTCCAGTGGTTCTTGAGATATCGCGATAACGATCTCAATGTATGGAATTTCATAAGTTGACCTCTGTGACCCTTGACCTTTGACCTACGTGCTCCAAAATCTAATCAGATTGTCTTCCTATGGTGATACACACTATCATTAAGTTTGAAGTTTAAATCTCCAGTGGTTCTTGAGATATTATGATAACAATCTCAATGTATGGAATTTCATAAGTTGACCTCTGTGACCCTTGACCTTTGACCTACGTGCTCCAAAATCTAATCAGATCGTCTTCCTATGGTGATACATACTATCCTTAAGTTTGAAGTTTTTACATCTCCAGTGGTTCTTGAGATATCATGATAACAATCTCAATGTATGGAATTTCATAAGTTGACCTCTATGACCCTTGACCTTTGACCTACGTGCTCCAAAATGTAATCAGATTGTTTTCCTATAGTGATACACACTATCACTAAGTTTGAAGTTTAAATCTCCAGTGGTTCTTGAGATATCATGATAACAATCTCAATGTATGAAATTTCATAAGTTGACCTCTGTGACCCTTGACCTTTGATATACGTGCTCCAAAATCTAATCAGATCGTCTTCCTATGGTGATACATACTATCCTTAAGTTTGAAGTTTAAATCTCAAATGGTTCTTGAGATATCGCGCTAACAAACTCAATACAAGGAATTTCATAAGTTGACCTCTGTGACCTGTGACCTACGTACTCCAAAATCTAATCTGATCGTCTTCCTATGGTGATAAATACTATTCCCGAGTCTTAAGTTTAAATCTTAAATGGTTCTTGAGATATTGTGATAACGGTCAAAAGGGACGGACGTACGGACGTACGGACGGACAACCCGAAAACATGATGCCTCCGGCACCACCTTCGGTGGCGGAGGCATAAAAAGGAAACAACCAAGGGCCAGATGGCTTTAAGTCCTCTCTGAGGGACTCGGTTATGAGGATTAATGTCTTACCCAAAGGGCATTAGCGCATCAACTTGGACCTCCCGGTTTCAAGACCACTGCTCTCCACTGAGCCAATGTGTCTCCTCATTGACTTACATCCATCATTGGTTTTTATGAGGTCATGTACAAGACTAAAACTCATTATTATAACTGATTGACCATTATCCACGTGACCTTTGACCTACTTCTCCAAAGACCTTCAGTTCATCTCCCTATAAGGAAGGTGATACATACACTATGAACATGACTGACAAAAGAAAGCGGACAAAATATACAGTTCCTCAGGTAGACAAAGGAACATCCCTTCACTGCTATTATGTAAAAATGTGTAGAACAGGTGTCACATGCATATTCACTTTTTACATAATAGCAGTGAAGGGATGTTCCTTTGTCTATCTGAGGAACTGTATATTTTGTCCGCTTTCTTTGTCCGTCATATTCATAGTGATAGTGGTACCAACTTTGATCTTTATGGCCCAAAGATTCCTTCAAACATTGAGATTAACAAATTTCATGACCAATATGGCGATACATACTAGTACCGGTCCATTTTCTTCAGTGGCACTTCAGATATTGGAATCACAAGATTAAAACCCCAGAATTTCATTTAAAAATTGACCTCCATGACCTTGACTGACCTACCCCATATCTAGTTATCTTCCTATGGTGATACATTTTTTTTCTCAGTGAAATTTCCTCCTAATATATATCTATCAAGAATTTTTCTCCAAAAGTTGTTCCTATATTTCTTAATTCCATATAACCTTCTATACATCAAAGACTATTTGTATTTTTAATAGTCTAGGGAGGGGTACCAGTTGGTAATACCCATTACAAGCTCTGCTTATCGGGTTTCGTGCCTTTTTGTGAAATACAAGTTCTTTAATCAGGTGGGCTGTATCTATACAGACCACCTTATAATTTTGTTAAAATTGCCTTTATTATTATTTATTTATTTTATTTCTAACCACTTTTTTGTTAACAAGATAACTTGAAAATGGCTAAATCAAATAACTTGAAATTTGGCACACATATGTATAGGCATATGGACAAAACACAGTAAGGTTTTCAACCTTGACCTTGACTGATGACGTCATCTAGGCGCCATTTTGTGGAATTTTCTGAAAATTTACTTATGATCATATTTTCATAACGGTAAGTTATTTCTCATTCATATTTTCCATGATCAAGGTCAATATCAGTCCAGTCAATTTCAGGTCAAAAAACGCGCGCGTGCGCGTAAGTCCGCGCGTCAATGCGCGCGCAAAATTTTTAAATGCTCAAAATCGTCTCAAATTTATTTTGCATACGTTTCAGGTCATTTAAAGCATTTTATAAAAAATCGCGCGTACGAGCATGCGCGCGCGTTTTCGCGCGTAACACCATTAAAAAACATAGAATCGCCATTTTTTTTTCTTTCATGATATTTCTCATATTTTTTCAAGGAATTTGATTCCATGTTTATCTCTTTATGACCATTATTAACAAGATGAGCGTAAATTCAAGATAAATGTCAGTGCGCGCGAGGTCTTTTAATACATAGCATATATGGGCAAAAACATGCCTATACAAAATCCGTTATAGCTCTTTGGAATGCACCGGGATCCTCAATTTTTTTTCATATTAAGATAGAGTATGAGTCGGAAATATGATTCCATGTCTCATTTGGCCATTAAGTTTATCGTGACATCATCACAATGGCCTTGGAACTCAAAATACGAATTTGCATATTATGACGTCAGCATATTTATGTAAAATTGATTGTATCTCTGTAAATATTGATCAATTTTCTTTAAAATTTCGATATGTTGTAGCTAAGACAATTCTCTACAAGCGCAGTAATAACCATTTTTCATTTTGATGACGTCATCATAGTGAAAATTTTGATTAAAGGCCTCATGTCAAAAACTTCATAATTTACGTGTTATGCCTATAGAAGGTGAATTTAGTTCACGTTATGAATCTACATGATATTGTCTTTTAAGAATTTGTAAGCAGTATGTCGCTTATTTTTGCTCTATTTTGTCTCAAATGTTAGTTGACCAGCCCACCTATACTTGTTCCAAACAAGTATTATATGTCTAGTTATATTTATGTTCCTACGTATAAATTGTATTGTTTGAACAGATGACAAATATGTTTGTCAAATTGAATGGAAGAAAATAAATGTTCATTTGAATTGAATTGAATTTGGTTGTCACAACCTGATATCAAGTAATAGCCTGCAATTGATTTAATTTCAAAACCAAGGGTATTCTAAGAAATGGCATCATTTAGGAAAACAAATATTGATCTCACCTTCTATTTCCTCTTCCTTCTTTTCAGCTATAGTAGGTTCAGAGGAAGTTCCAGGGTTTCCCAAGTATCGCTGTCTCATACGAGAGTTGGTTGATTTCCTGGCACGTGGACCTGTCACCTCTATGTGGAGGAAAGCAAATTGTAGATCAGGGCCCTGTTTCATTAAACTTGTTATCAATGCCAAATGCTAAATTTCTATGACAAAGTTGCTCTCAGCCAATCAGATGCCATAATTTCAGTAGCTTATAACAGTAGCTTGTAACTTGTTATTGATATCAAGTTTGATGAAACAGGGCCCTGTTGTGATGAATGAATTTGAAGGAACCAGAGATGCCACCTCTTGACACACACACACAAAAAAAGACTGATTATCCTAAAAAATCAGATTTTGGAGAGACAAGTCAGATTTTCACGAAAACTCAATACTACCAATGGCTTGTTGGCCTCGGGCCAGTGAAATTTCAGAAAAATGTTTCACTGGTAAGTATGGTCAAGTAACATGTTTGCTCTTTCATTTAAATTTGAAGAGAAAATTGTAAGGCAAAGTTGTTGTTGGGGTTGCTGGGGTTTACTTGTACATGTTTCTATGCGGTTCCACGGTTTTCATGGGTTAAAAAATAAAAGAAGATTTTTTGTTTTTTTTGTTGTTGAAAAATTGTATTTTAAGAGGTGATATTGTATTATCATATTACACTCTTATTATCGTACTAACTATGATTTAATCGTACTGGTTGGCATCTCTGAGGAACTGTTCATTCTAAATAAAAAGATAGTAAAGAGCCAGGAATTTTTGTGAAATGCTAATTACTATAGCTTTCACCGACAGCAAACATTCCACAATGTGATTCAATTATTTAGCAGAATAAAACTTTCACAAATCTCAACTCATTTTAGTGTCATGGACCCGGAAGTCTCTAAACTATTACCACCCAAATATGAAGTTGAAATTAAAGCAATACAAATTTTCATCATTTTGTCACATGTATTAATAAAGGCATCTGAGACAAAGTCACCAGATCCCTTTTAACATATTATTATATTGCTTACTACAGAAAAATTGAAAATTGGTGTGATAGCATGTCTTTTTTTTATGTAGTAAAAAAAATAAAAAAATAATAAGAGAGAAATGCCATAATCACAAGTGAACCCACAAACATTACATCTTTTCATTATAAAGAGAAATCGATCATGAAATGTTGACTTTTATGGTCATCTCGCCTTTGATGAATTCCTGCATTGAATTCATGTCCAAGCAACAACAACAAAAAAGAGGTAAATTACTCAACTTTAGGGAGAGACTAGAGTCTGATCTCGGGAGTATTAATGAATAAAATATCATTGTTATTATACTGGTAATTTAACATATTTGGAATGTTTACAAGTTGTTATAATTCATGTTCTTCTTTTTTCTTGTTAAAACAAAATATTGATGTACATATGCCAATGATGTTTCATAACTTAAATTTTGATGCAAGAACATCAATGTACAACTTCTACAGAACTGTTTAGTTCATATTTGCTTTGTAAGTACATGCTGTAAGAGTGCTAGAGACATGTACATAAAACTAGTGTAGGGATTTATTTTGAACTTCTGAAACTCCCCTTCATATCCATGATTCATCCCTTATTCACATTCACCCTTTTCACCCACCATCCTTTCATATATCTATCTCTCTCTCTCTCTCTCTCTGATTGGTTTCAGTGTTCACCTGATGCAGTCAAGCTTAAAGTATCATTTACATATACTATGAATATCCAATATATACCCTTTGTTTATGTTTGAATATTCAAGATTACTTTGTTATGTTGATTTATACTTGTATGTGACTTTATGAATATTAATTTGTTTCTTCTACATTGCATGGAATGTATGTGGAATGCTACCTTTTATACATTAAAACCTGGTCAGTTAGCCAGTAGTTATCAATCCTACAACATGTCTGCTGGGCTGCCTCTGTGTTAAGAGTGCTGGGAATTATGTGTTAGAACCGCAACCCTACACTAGTAAGAATACTTAGTAGATGTGTAGGTTTCCACTTACTGGGTTTAGCTGGTTTTTTCTCCTTTTCTTCACTCTTAAAGTCTTCAGTCTTGTTCCCCTCCTTAGTCTCTCCTGTCTCCTCTAAACCAAGATCACGCAGCGAGTCTGAAACGCTACTGTCCGGCTTCACATCGGTTTCCATCGGAACTACCAGCTTCTTCTCATCCTCCTCTGTCTTCACTGATGATGAGGATGCTGCTGATAATGACGCAGAATTCACTGCTACTATCTCAACGTCATAATCATTATCACCCTGGTCTGCTCCCGAGGATTGGGCTGGTTTGGTCTCGGTTTTCTTGTCTTCTGATTTGGCTGCTGGAAATTGTAAAAAATCATGCATGTCAATGTTCCACACATTAAAACCTGTCTGTACTATTTTGGCCAATGGGATTAGGCCTCCCTGGAAGCGTAATTTTTTTTCTCCCACTTGAGCTCCGGAACCCCAGTATGAACTCATTTGCATACAGCCAATCAGAGCTCAATGAAGATGCGAAATTCGAAACGGTGAAAAGCTTTGGGCTTCACACACGTACACACAGCGCCTTGCCTATATCAGCATACATGATGTGCGTGCATAGGGATAGGCTTGCAAATGTTTCATTTCTGCTCTAGCATCTCTACCTTTAGCAAATTCATTACCTATTTCATGTAAATTTTCTTGTTATTTTTGGAGTATTTTCAGAAAAACATTGATATTAGTATACACTTTTTCACAGGTTTCACGGCAAAACGCTGCACAATACAAGTATATACCGATGGTGGGTTGAAGGGGGGCGCGCGCCTGTGTGAAGTTATCTACCGTAATGTCTCAGATCCTCAACGACTTTTAACTCATGATCTTTATTTGGACATTTAATGAATATTTACTTCATTTTGGTTATGTTTTAGTAAGGTATCCCCACGCCGGAGTTATGGGTCAAATTTTGGATAGGTTTCTGAACAAGTGCCCAAACTTTAGCATACCTTCACTGCTACCTGCTGCTGCTTGCTTAGCTCTAGCCTCCTTCTCAGCCTCTCTCCTTTGTCTGAAAGCTGCCACTTGTTTCTGGTCCAGGATCTCTTTGGATGGGCTTGGGTCGTAGCCGTACTTTATCGTTGCAGCCTTCTGACCGTTTGGTTTGACCTCTGGTGACCCCATGACTAGCGACCCCCTAGGAGGGGTCATTTCCTTCTTGCTATTGGGGCTGGCCAGTGAAACAGACCTGCTCAAAATTACATTGGTTTAAGGTAAAATTACATTGGTATAAGGTAAAATTACATTAGTATAAGGTAAAATTACATTGGTATAAGGTAAAATTACATTGATATAAGGCAAAATAGTCATTCTAAATATCTATGTATGGTACAGTCAAACCTGTCTACAGCGACCGCCTAAGGGAAACACAAAAAGTGGTCTATGTAGACAGGTTCCGTTAGTACATGTTTTAATGAGTAAGGTAAAATAGTCATTCTAAGTATCTATGTATGGTACAGTCAAACCTGTCTTCAGTGACCGCCAGAGGGAAACACAAAAAGTGGTCTATGTAGACAGGTTCCTTTAGTACATGTTTTAATGAGTAAGGTAAAATAGTCATTCTAAATATCTATGTATGGTACAGTCAAACCTGTCTACAGTGACCGCCAGAGGGAAACACAAAAAGTGGTCTATGTAGACAGGTTCCTTTAGTACATGTTTAAATGAGTAAGGTAAAATAGTCATTCTAAATATCTATGTATGGTACAGTCAAACCTGTCTACAGTGACCGCCAGAGGGAAACACAAAAAGTGGTCTTTGTAGACAGGTTCCTTTAGTACATGTTTTAATGAGTAAGGTAAAATAGTCATTCTAAATATCTATGTATGGTACAGTCAAACCTGTCTACAGTGACCGCCAGAGGGAAACACAAAAAGTGGTCTTTGTAGACGGGTTCCTTTAGTACATGTTTTAATCAGTAAGGTAAAATAGTCATTCTAAATATCTATGTATGGTACAGTCAAACCTGTCTTCAGCGACCGCCAGAGGGAAACACAAAAAGTGGTCTATGTAGACAGGTTCCTTTAGTACATGTTTTAATCAGTAAGGTAAAATAGTCATTCTAAATATCTATGTATGGTACAGTCAAACCTGTCTACAGTGACCGCCAGAGGGAAACACAAAAAGTGGTCTTTGTAGACGGGTTCCTTTAGTACATGTTTCAATGAGAAGCCATTTTCAAGGGAAACAACAAATGTGGTCTTTGTAGACAGGTGGTCACTAAAGCAGGTTTGACTGTACTAGTTCTTATAGATTTTATGTGGGATTTTTATTTCCAATAAACACTGGCAGTAACTGCACCTAAATCTACTTTGGTAATTTTCATCAAAGTAATACCATCCGCAGGGTTTAGAGTGAGGCAATACATGTAGATTAAACATTTAGCCGGACAGTAGTGAAGTAAGAGAAAGAACTGAAGAGAAGATGACAAAACAGGAACTGAAAATGTGTGAGATGTCATGGGACATCGTCTGCGAACAGCCAACATGTTTGTACTGGTAGTAAATGATCACTGGTGTGTTTGTCAATAGTTTTATGCCTTTTTAAAATCAGATAATTCTGAAGTCCTTTCAGGCAATAATTTTAATAAATATGCATAAATTATGTTAGTGATGGGTATATATGTCCATGTGATGAATATGATGAAATTACAATCATATGGCACCTGGGGCCCATTTACAAAGCCTTTTTTCAATGACAAATGACAAAACTCAGTGATAAATCTGCTGATAACCAATCAGAAGCGAGGATTTTAGTAGCTTATAACAGGAACTGTCATTTGTCGCTGATGACAAGTTTTGTGAAACGACCCCCTGCGCTGCATTAGCCATTCTTATTAAGATGCGTGTGGCAAACTTTATTGTGGAACTCAAGGATTTTACTATAAACTTAATCCTCGACTAAAGTTAGTACACTTTACTGATCAATGCAGTTGCATTAAAGGTATAGACCAATTTTGGGAAACGCCCCCCCCCCCCCCTCTCAAAAAATGAAATGGAAGCTCTTATTACCAATCATGTGAAAGAATATGTATTGACTTATACGTGATGATACAAATTTTGCCTGAAAACCGCCTACTAATTAATATAAATGGTGAATCATCATATCGATCTGGCCTGGATAGATATCGCACTTCAACATTGAACATTTGGGCATATATTTCTGCTTTTTTGCAAATTTAGGTTGAAGTATTGCCATCTAAACCTCTGAAGGAAGTATTGCCATCTAAACCTCTGAAAGAAATATTTAAAAATATTGAATATGTATTTTGCATCCAAAACCCTTGAACCGCAATTTTACCACTACCTGGTATTTACCTTTAAAGACTGCATAAGGATTGGTAAGAAATGTTAATGTAGTGATGAGGCGAACAAGAAACCTATCAGAACCAATAGACGTGTATTAGAAAGAGTTGAGATAAATTACTATGAATATGACGGACAAAGAAAGAGGACAAAATATACAGTTCCTCAATCTACCCTCAACAATTGTTGTGGTAGACAAAGGAACATCCCTTCACTGATAATATGTAAAAATGTGTAGAACAGGTGGAATATATATGTGACACCTGTTCTACACATTTTTACATAATAGCAGTGAAGGGATGTTCCTTTGTCTACCACAGCAATTGTTGAGGGTAGAATGAGGAACTGTATATTTTGTCCGCTTTCTTTGTCCGTCATGTTCATAGTGAATGTTAGTAGCCCGAGCACTAACCATTGACTTTGTTCTGTACTCTCTGATTGTCTGCGTAAGACCAGGCGTGTTCCACCAGCTTGATCCCTTATAAGTCACCAAATAAACAAATAAAGAATCATGAATGACATGTAACAATGAAAAGAAACATTAATTATTCTCTTTGTCCACATCACAGATTTATCATACATTAAAATGACCTATTTTCAAAGTTTGTGAAATGACAGGCTCCGATTGTCTGCGTAAGACCAGGCGTGTTCCACCAGCTTGATCCCTTATAAGTCACCAAATAAACAAATAAAGAATCATGAATGACATGTAACAATGAAAATATAAAACATTAATTATCCTCATCATCCTCTTAACAGAATTATCACATATTAAAATGACCTATTTTCAAAGTTTTTGAAATGACAGGCTACAGTATATGGGTGATGCTGTGCACTTAGATGATTAAGCAAAATGAGAAGAAATAGAGGAAAGAAAAACAAATATTTAACCCATTTGATCTACTGGTATATCAACTCTAAAGTTCTGACTACCATGAAGCTGTTCTTTGGCCTTAGTATTTAGGTAGAGTTCTTTTTCGCAAAAGAATTTTGTATCATTTCTTGAATTATTGTTAAATAATGCTAAATGAATCAAGATTTTCACTCTTTGACAAATGAAGGATAAGAGATTCTATGTGTATCCTTCATTAGATGAGAACAAATAATATCATTTTCACTCTATTTTCTCCACTCCACAACAACTTATTCAGCCAACAGTGCGACACTAGAGCATTGGAATGTTTTTAATCAAATCCTTCTTTTTCTTCATTTTTTAAATCTTTCCCCAATTTTCTGTAAACTTCTGTGTAGGTCTTTACAAATTAACATTTTTCCATTTTGCTCTTGGAAGGTTTAATATAACAAATATCTAGTTTTACATGTATGATTATGGTATGTATTAATACACTATTTTTTAACGTATGTTTGTGAGACTTGCTCCCTTAAAAGGCAGCATAATGAAATGTGACACATAAATCTGTGGCTTTTGGCAAGCGGAAAAAATAGTACAAACGAAGGTATAGTGTGCATGCCTGCTCTTATCAGCTAGAATCAAAATAGGAGGAAAATGATTGGTCACTGGCCAGCTTTTGGTTCAAACATCAGGGGGGTGTTTCACAAAGATCCTAAGTTGAACTTATCTCTAAGTTGGACTTACAAATTATGGAAAGCCATTAGCATGCTTGAAAACATTTAAAAAAATTATTTTAAAAGGCATAAAGTGTTGATTCAAATCATTTAAATTTTCTATTAGCATAGGAAATTTCATGTTCTCGATGTGGAATTTAAGAAAAGTCTAAAATACTTGAATTTTTATTTTTGAAGATATTTTATTTCAAGGCTACAAATGGCTCTCCATAATGTTTAAGTCCAGCTTAGAGTTAAGTTTGACTTTGAATCTTGGTGAAACACCCCCTGCAGTATTAAGAGCCAAGAGCCTTTATGGTACATCAGAGACAAATAATGCGTAGGTACTTACTTTTGATTGGTTGATTCCTTCAAGTCGTCTCTAGGTCTATCTGTGATGGGATTGATAATGTCTGCAGAGTCGTCACTAGAGAGCTCAGACTGAGCTGTCTGAAAGTCATCATCGGATGAGCTTTGAGTTCTGAAAAGAAAGATAAAGCTCAATATTAGTGTTCGGGTCATCATGTAACTCTCTTTCCAGACAACTGCATTTCAAAGTAATTCTAAAAGGATCAAAAATTTTCTTTCCAAATGGTAAGATGGCAGCCTGGAAGCCTGTTGATCGGATTCAAGTCGATTAACAGTCATGCGTTAACAATGTTAAATCTGAGATTCACGGCCCTACGTGTTATCAGTGTCTGTGATATGGTGTAATATTGAAGCCCTAAAAAAATTGCAAACTGAGAAGTAGCCTTTCACCTGGCTCATTGAAAGGATTCCTGGAATATGGTGATTCGGTGGGCTGCATCAGGAAGACTATTGATGTGTTTCTTATGAGGGGGGGGGGGGGGGGTGAAGAGCACTTCATTTTGTGCGAACAAGGCTCTATGTACCATTCCCACCCATCTCAGACTTACTTGTTATTGGAGTCATCAGAATCTTTGTCAGACAAGTCTTTATCGATTGGATCAACGTCACTTTCATAGCCTTCCTTCTTCCCCTCAACATTCTCTGCAAGAATAGAGCATAGATTTAAAAGTAATGCAAAGTTTGGGGAAATTTACAAAATTGGATGGATAGGAATTCCTTAAAATTTGGATAAATTTGGATGCCCCTGTGGATGTATTATAAGCACAAGAAACAGCACTGCTGAAATAGATTTAAAAAGTTACCGATGTTAACCTTCTTAACCATATCTAATCTGATTTAGTTACACACTTATTCCAAGTTGGAATTTCATGGCTCATATCATGAGAAATTGCAATGAGGCTAAACCCTGAACTTCAGCTAAATTGACCTATGACCTTTGAACTACTTATTGAAATTAACAATATATACTGTATACGCGCGGTACACGCTCACAATACTCTTAGACGAGTATATTTCCCTACCATAAATTATCTCTCTTTGACAATTGGCAAGTGGGATTCGGTATATCAAACAAATATTGACTGCTCAGAGGGGCATGATAAAAACTATTGCCCCTCAGAGATCTTGAGACTGCACTGTGCCCCTCAACTTTATTTCGGATCACAGTACAATTTCAAGATCACCTTTGGCAATAGTTTTAACAGTGCTCCTCAAAGTAGTCAATATTTGTATAATGCTCACTGCAGACTTTCTGTAATCAAATATGCAGAGCTGGGGGGCGTTTCACAAAACTTGTCATCAGTGACAAATGACAGTTGTTGTTATAAGCTACTGGAATCCTTGCTTCTGATTGGTTATCAGTAGATTTGTCACTGATTTTTGTCATTTGTCATTGAAAAAATGTTTTGTGAAACGGGTCCCTGGAGTACAGTTTTAGGTTTGGTTAAGAATTTGGTTTAGACCGTTGGTTTATAAGGTTCCAGTTAAGACTTTGACTATCATTCAAGTTGTCACCATAAATACAAGTTGGTCATATACAAATCTAAAAGCATTCCAAACTTTGTACTGAGGAGCAAAGAAGGCTTGAAACTTGAAATAAACATGTTAAGTGAAAAAACAAAATATCGACATCGTGAGAACTTACCAATGAAGTCTAACTCGGCAAAATACTCATCACCATGCTCTTTTCCTTTTTGATTTGCTTCTTCTTCATCCCATATCTGACCAGCGTACGTACACACAAACATTCCCTTAGGAATATCATCTAAACACCTTATGCCCCAACCCCTTTATAGGGACAAGGAGAAAGAGAAGAGAGGGGTGCAAGAGAGAAGTGATGGGGGGGGGGGGGGGAGATGAAAGTAAGGGTGAGAGAATCAAGAAGGAATGGAGAGAGGGAGGGAGAAAAAAAGATTAATTCAGCGTTCTCGCAGAATAAAATGAAACTGATTATTCAAAACTATATATAAATTGTCTGAATACTAAATATAATAAGGTGTCCGAAGATGATTTTTAACACAGGGGATCTAGGCAAAGCCCTGTGCCCGTATTCAATAAACTTCTTAAGCATGAAATGTAAGATTTTTTTTGTATCTTTTAGCTGATAGAAAAGTCTTAGCAAAAAAATGTGTATTCTATTAAAGAATTGGGGGCTAAGTATTTTGACTAAGGAGTACATGTAAGTAGATATTCTAAGATTTTTATCTAAGAAAAAGTGCTTAAATAGCTTGTTGTATTCTAATACAATCGAAATATCTAAGATAAGTAAGAAAACACTACCCTATATTTAAGCATACCACTAAGGATGTTTAAATACGGCCTTGGCACTGGCAGTGCCGCTACATGCAGTGAAGTTTTGGATTTCAATGAAATAGAGAAAAAAAATGGGGAAAAAAGGCAATGTGATACAGCACGAGCGCAGGTTATCAGTTGACGTAAGGTTTGCATGCGTACAGCATCGGCGCCACAGTGCCATAGGTACTTATGCTAAAACAAAGTGCTTATCATGTTTAGAAAATGGTTATTAAAGGCAACTGTCTTAGCCTAGAAAAATGTCTTGGAAGTTTATTGAATACAGGCCAAGCAGTCCTCCTTTTTTAAGCCCACTGTAAAATACTACCCCCACAACTGATACATCCAGGAAGGTAAGACACCAACAAAGATTACGATCAGTGAATCTGAAAACATCTGTTTAGTAGCAACATTTTTTTTATTAATACTCAAAAAAGGAATGCCATTGCATTTAAAGCCCGTCTGCACTAGTTTGGCCAGGGGGGATTTCGTTCGTTCGTTCGTGTCTCCTTAGATCAAGATTACGGTAATCTTGATCTTCGTAGTAGTTGCTACAACCGGCCGTGTCAGACACGTTGCCCCGGGTGCGAGATAGGACTCTTGTAGCGTGCCCCCATTTAAAACAATTATACAGTTACAGTTAACAATACATTTAATTAATAGTATGAAACTATTAAAATTACTCTCATGTTACGGGAAAAAATATTGCATATACATATATTATGAATCAATTGATTTGGTCGATCCATAATAAGAGCATGAGAGAGAGAGAGAGAGAGGGGGAGAGAGAGAGAGAGAGAGAGAGGGGGATTAGACGTCCCTGCAAGGTCACTGACAGGTGGTTACCTCATCAAATCAGCTCTCAATTAACATAAGAAAAAGAGGATCATGAGGGACCAATAGGCACTGATTAGGCATTGTTTGCTATATAGAGGGCGCAAGTAGCTAACAGTAGTGCAGAGGGGCTTTAAATCAGATGGAACGTTGCCTGGATAGCACAAAAGACCTCATTCTTACCTGTCATAGGTCTTAAAGACTTGTAGTCTCAGGGAGAGTCCATTCTGTACCACTTTGTTCTGACACTGCTTGGAGCATTTGCACTTATCATTGCACTCATAAATCCTGATAAGGAAATAAACAAGTAAATAAATCAGTACACCTATTTACAACCAGGGACAATCCAGGGTCCCGTTTCACAAAGCCTTTTTCAATGACAAATGACAAAAATCAGTGACAAATCTGCTGATAACCAATCAGAAGCAAGGATTTCAGTAGCTTATAACAACAGCTGTCATTTGTCACTGATGACAAGTTTTGTGAAACACCCCCCCCCCCTGTTCTATACATTCACATATACATATAACAAAAACACATATCTTTAATTGCATATCAAAGAACATTTCATAATTCAGTAATCAGTAACAGAATGACAAGTATTGAAAATATAGGATTTTGTTTCAGATTCTGAGACAAAGTTACCCAATCCCTTTAATGAGAAGCCGCAAGATAATTTGCATCAATATTCTGGACTGGAAACCTCTAAAACTCACCCAGTTTGAAACTGATCCTTGAGAAGACGGTTCTTGTATCCTGCATCAAGTCTAGGCTTACCGTCACGGTTACATGCTGACGCCTTGATTGTCAACTGTCTACAAGCACACCTAGTGGCATCCTATCAAAGAAAAGTTATTACAATATTATACAAACCATTAATAAAAGCTCTCGTTAAAACTATACCCCACCGCTATAACACAAGAACCAATGTAAATCAGGTGGGGTATCACGACCCCACTTTCGTTTCTCGTTAAAACTTTGACAGAGCCACTAATACCCCACCACTATAACACAAGCACCAACGTAAATCAGGTGGGGTATCACGATCCCATTTTCGTTTCTCTCGTTAAAACAAGGTCTCGGCAGGGGGATTACATTGTTTAGTGCTAGTGTTTACTTTAGGCTTAGCTCTCGGAGTAGTGAAAGTCAAATGGGGGTTTCAATTTTAAACGACAAGTTTTCGTCATGCAATGCATGCGAATGAGTTTGTTATACAATCTACCCACACTCGAGTTGAAGCTGTTACAATGAACAAATGAAAACATGCATCATTTGTTTTATACAATTAAACTCCTAGATCCTAGTTATTTGATGTAGAATGATTTCATTCAAGATTGTATTGAGTTATTATCACTGAAATAAACCCAAAGTTTAAAAGGCTTATTTTAGCAAGCACATTAAGATAAGCGCATTAACCGTTAAAAACTTTAAAAATGGTTGGAACTTTCTCAAACCTATTTTACAATTATTCAACAACAAAAAATGTGTGATAGTGTGAGTAAATTAATTACACGAGAAGACATTTGAACACGATCATTTAGTTTTTGGGATAAAACTAAAAAAGTATGTGCATACTCATTGATGTGTGTTAAAATACAGATATGTGAACTGCTCAACACATACCCCATTTTGCAGCAACATTTTAAAAGAAGTTTACCACCTCAATTCAAATTAAATTCAAATTGACTGATCTCATGAATGAAGTGGTGAAGGATAAAGCTCTAAAGGCTATGTAACTCGCTGCTCTCACATTCACATTCATATTGTCCGAACCTCGCGAGTCTTCTCATTCTATTATATCCCAAGTTGGCCACTCAATATTCAAATTTGCATCTTCTTTTTTATCTTTATATAACAAATTGAAATCCAACTACCACGTACATCTATGAATTTTGATGTGCATCCCCTCTCTCTTTCTTTTCTTCTGCTTTTTTCTGTCTTTTTTCCCATTTACCAATATTTTTGTCCTCCATATTTGTATTATTATGTATCCTTTGAGGGTAGTCATACTATCAAGCTTTGCTTACTTCGTCAACCCTCCCGTTTGATGTTTTCGATTAGATACAACCAGCCTTACTTTATTCTACATATATTCATCTGTCATGTGTAAAATTGCGATGATTGTTTGTTATATATTTGTAAAAATGCAAAAGAAAAATAAATAAATAAATCAAAATCAAAATCACACTTACTGAGCAGTTATCAGTACAATCACAGCATATCAGGAAGTTAGGATCTGTATTGACCTTTGTCCCTCTCAGCACAGCCTGTCGTTCAGTCATGTATATCAGAGGAGGAGGCTCGTCTGTGTCGTACTCATTCACACACTAAACCAAGAAATCAAGAGGAAAATGGAGAAAAAAAGAAAAGCTAAGAATAAACAACCTGCTTAAAGGCATCGTTTATCAATATTAAATGTGAACTGCACGGCCCTACGTGTTATCAGTGTCTGTGATATGGTGTAATAATGAAGCCCTAAAAAAATTGCGCTTCAAAATGATCAAGAAGTGCCTCAATCTTTGAGTGACCAGTTTCACCATACTCATTTTCCCCAATAGACTGTAGTGTTATGAAAACCGTTTGGCAAACGGTTTTCAAAATTTGTGATTCCAATCATAAATATCTTGATAATCAGACAGATGATCGGCTTGTAAAAGGCATGGGGTTCTTGACTGACCTAAAGGTATATAAACATCATTGTAGCATGAGCGAAAACCAGGATTTTATTTCAGAATCTGAGACAAAGTTACCGGATCCCTTTAAAGATAAAGTTGAGTTCTGGTCATGCGATTGCATTGTGAAAGAAACGGTGTGGAATCAATCAGAAAAGGTTGATCATCTAGCATATAAGTATTGGTGTGTACTGCAAGGTTCTGGAACCCTCAAAATGCCCCCCACCCCAAGGAAAATTGGGAAAAATTGAGGGAAAAAAATAGTGATAAAATCGGAGGGGGGGGGGGGGGGGAGGGGGAGGAAATAAAAAAAATCAAGTAATTATCGGGCCTGCTACATAGGGTAATAGAGCAACTGTTCATCAGTTTCTCTAATTCTTGTGGACACTCACCGAAACAGGAACCTTCTCTACCCCATTAGAGAGATCTGTGAGCTGCATATAATAGAAGCGACTGTTCTGCCTTGTGCGCCGCTGGTTGAAACTGATGTGGACGTGTGGGGCAAAGGTGAAGCGATCTACGGACAACACTTCAGATCTGGTTTCCTTCACTGTGTCCAAAAGAAAATAAATAATAAAAATAATAATAATAATAATAATACTCAGTTTTTATATAGCGCTTATTGGAATCACTACGCGCTTCCAAACTTGGAGATTATTACCCCGGCTTTAGCTGTGCTGCCATTGCGGCGCTCTAGCATTTCAAAGAATTAATTCCTTCACAAAGATCCCAAGTTGAACTTATCTCTAAGTTGGACTTAACAATTATGGAAAGCGGTTAATAGCATCTACGAAAATATTTTGTAAAAGTTATTTTAAAAGGCATAAAATGTTGATTCAAATCATACCTATTTTCTATTATCAAGGAGATTTCATGTTCTTGATGTGGAATTTATAAAAAATCTAAAATACCTGAATTTTTCGCTTTTGAGTATATTTTATTTTAAGGCTACAAATGGCTCTCCATGATGTTTAAGTCCAGCTTAGAGTTAAGTTTGACTTATGATGTTTGTGAAGCACTCCCCAGAGAGTTAAAAAAAAATACCTGAGAATGCAAGTAATATAATGTTACTGCATAATATTTACATTTACTTCATGAAGTGGTACACATTACCTACAAAAACATGCAAAGTACATAAAGGAATAATCATTGAAATTTATAATCATTGTATAGAATATTCTGATTTGCTAATGTTGGTATTTCAAAAATAATCGTAAGTTTCCTTCTGTTCCATGGATAGTATTCAAATAATTTTTCATGATGTTACATGTAGGTAGGAAAAGTCATAATTGTTGTCTTACCAAGCAAAAATTCGCATTCTGACTGTTGAAATACAATTATTTGGAACAGATGGTATCTTACAAAGATTTATGCATTAAATTTGAGTACATTACGAAAATGATCTATTCATGAATGAGAAATTAAATCTAATTTTAATTGTTCTGCAAGTTAGGTAGTTCTATTATAATGCACAGAGATGCCAACCTCTTCGACACAAAAAAACAGACTGAGTAACCTAAAAAATAAGATTTTCACGTAAACTCGACACTACCAATGGCTTGTTGGTAAGTACCTGGTAAGTATGGTCAAGTAAAATGTTTGCTCTTTCATTAAAATTTAAAGAGAAAATTGTAAAGCAAAGTTTTTGTTGGGGTTGCTGGGGTTTACTTGTACATGTTTATATGCGATTCCGCATTTTTTATGGGTTAAAATTGTTAAGAGGTTATATCGTATTATCGTATTTCACTCTTATTATCGTACTAAATACAATTTAATCGTACTGGTTGGCATCTCTGAATGCAGGTTAAAGCAACATTAAAATTGATATCTCGGTACTTACAATATCTTGAAATATCATCAAAGGAATACTGCCGAAAGAACAAAGAACATAAAAGAGTAAGGCTATAATTAGACTATTAAATTTATTAGAAGATTGTGTCGCACATTTGACATTGATAATATCTACCGTATGTTTTGACTACGAAGTGAAAGAGGAATAATATTTTATTTTCTTGGTTCAATACTTTCATTTTTAAGCATAAGTAATGATTACATTTCTCTATATATATATCACTTGAAAGGAATGCATCATAAATATTTATCATCATAAAAGAAAGTAATTTTCTCTCTATACTTTCCTTCCAAGAGAGAATTTTTTTTTCTTCTTTCCACTACCGGTATATCCTTTCCAAAGAGAAAGTAGTGGTGTAGTGGTGGTTATTTTACCTGACTGCTAAGAAAGCATAAAAGTAACATGTTCCTTAATCATCCATTAGAAATATGATACTTTCTATTCTCCTATCCACAGAACATTATATTCCTTTATTCTCCCTTCCATAAGAACAGGACATACTGTTCCTCTAAACTAACTCCAAAGATAGGACATGCAGTATAAGGCCCAACAGATTAATTCAGCAAGCATCTGAAATGTCGCCAGAATGCTATCTGCAAGCATTCTAGAATGGGTCCAGATTACCACCATTCTAGTAGAGTTCTGAAAACAATGCGCAATCAGCTTATTGTCAAGCAAACCAGGGAAAAAATTAATTACAAAATTTCGGGGGCTACTTTTCAAGCTTGCTTGCATGAAAATAACACTCTTTAATTTGTTTTGCATTGAACTCTATGCAAATTTGGGGGGTTCTTTTGGACATTTCAGGGGCTAATTTGCCCCGAGCCCCCGTGTATTTTTTTCCCTGAAGCAAACAATGGGGCATTCAGGAATACACCATGCACCCACAATGCAACAATGCAATAAGACTCGGCATGGGGCGGTGGGTACATGGTGCCACTACAGCACAGGGACATAAGTTGGATCGCCTGATTAATTGTGGTACATATAAGTTATTGTTTTCTCATTCTTGTCTTTTCCCTCTAATTTGTTTAGGATTTAAAAGTCTCCTTTTTGAAGACAACTCTGACTTTTTCAATGTCAAGTATTTTTCAGTGGCTTTGAGTTCTGTTCTTTCTGACCAGAGTGGATAGATATTAAGCAAATATTAATCTACTACGAGGGTAATGGTACAAACTATCATCACCGAGGCGATGATAGTTTGTATCCATTGCCCGAGTAAAGGAGGTTAATATTTGTTTTATATCTCACATCGGCAATAAGGTCTATTTAAAGTGAATTTTACATAATTAAAAGAATTGATTCTGCAGACAGTTGAGCTTCAGCTAGATTTTACAAAGCAAAACATGCATACATGTAATAAAGTTGATGTGCGCTCATTTGACATTGACATTGACATTGACATTTCGCGTAACCTACTGTGCTACGCTTATTCAATGGGCAAGTGGGGCAGCAGCAAAAAATTACTGTAGAAAAGTCCTATCGCAGGGAGATAGTACTTATCTATCATTGATCATGTGACCTTGTTTAAACCAATCAGATTGCAAGATTCTTAGTATGCGGGATATAAACATGTATATGTGATTGCTATGAGGTTGATATCAGCTCTCGGCCACGAAGCAGTGCATTCTGTTAAAGGATTCGAACGAGTAGAAGATAGTCGTGCTGAAGATCTTGACTTTGTATGGATGATGCATTCTTAGAGCATTTTGGAATGCTTCCCATTCTGACGCCATCCTAACCATAACTAAAGCCTTGGTCACAAATGCCATTACGAACTGCTATGAACGATTTTCAGACAATGGAAATTTGGGAAGACGATGGAAAAACGGAGATTTGTACGAAATATTTTTTTGTACAAACCTTTCTGACCGTAGCATTAAGTGCCGCATTCTACATGCTGCCGGAATGGGGATTCAAAGGACAAAAGAATAGAAGGGAGCTTTCCAACAGCATTTTGAATGCTATCTGTTGCGCCTCATGCTATGGTCACAAAGAGTCGTACAAACGATAATTTTGTACGAATCTCTGTTTTTCCATTGTCTTCCCAAACATCCATTGTCTGAAGATCCTTCGTACGGCATTCGTAGCAGTTTGTAATGGCATTTGTGACTGAGGCTTAAATCTAATGAAAGCCTACTACATAGGCCCCGATCTTCCGACTCACCAGACTTTTGCCACAGGGCGTTCTGTAGATGACGTGTCGTTTGTAGCTGCTACCTCCCTGCTTACAAAGCTCTCTCACCCAACCTAGATCCATGGGCCAGAGCAGCGGGTTCTGATTGTGATCAACCACTTGGGGAATGGGCCCAAGACAGATGGGACGACACTCGTGAGGCACTTAGAGAGAAGAGAGAAAGATCAAACCAAATCAGTTCTAATATACCAGTTCGTAGATACAATCTGAGCATGCGCGGATTGATCTGCACATGCGCAAATAAAGGTCACTTGAACATAATTGTAAAACCCACTGAGACTAATACTGGATACATGCTCCCGAAAGTTATGTAATCATTATTCATGCATGCACCTGTGATGCATTCTATTGAACACAGGTGGAAGTAATCTTTTCAAGAGGGCAAAGAATCACCTTCATGACTTTAGCTGTGATTATTCCAAAAGGCACAAAGTTGGATTTATCTATATTTAAAAGATATGTGGATATTTGGGGTCATATGACCCATGTGCTAAACTACGAACTGGTCTATTCAACACTGTCAATACAATCACCATCTGTGAATTTCTTTAAATCAAAACTAAAAGCACACAACTGTAAATCAAAGCATATCAGGAGCTCTTGTAGGGCAGTAGAATATATACTTAATGTTGGATAGTTTCTGCGATCTATACATTTATTATTATCATTATTATTAAGAGGCGATTGTCCAATTGTGTCTTGCTCATCTGTGGCAAGTTCTTGCACATTTTAGCATACGACCTCAAATGACCTTTGACCTTAGCATGCGACCCCCAACATCACCATAATATAAAGGTCCCCAAAGGGAATATGTGACCCAAGTTTGGTCACAATACAATACACCGTTACACGGTTACAAGAGTGCCCGTGCGCAGACATGGGCCCCATTTTTATTTCCGGGTAAACAAGTGTGTTTAAGTGCAAATTAAGGGGTGTATTAACAATGTATAACCTCAATCAACCTTGACCGTTAATGCATGTGACCCTTGACCTTTAATATGCATGTGATAGCACGGAGGTCTCCCAAATGCATGTGTGACCCAAATTTAGTCACAATACAATTAACAGTTGCAAAATCATTTGTTACAAAAGTCTTACATGTAAAATTAAATGTATTACCCCAACTGACCTTGACCTTTAATGAATGTGACCCTTGACAGCGTCATAGCATGGAGGTCTCTCAAATCATATGTAACCCAGGTTTGATCATAATAGAGTACCAAAGCTGTGACATCATAACAATCTATTTTTAGAATTTCTCAATTTTTTTCTTCATTTTCAGAAAGAGCATCAAAAATAATGTTGAAAACCAATTGAATATGTTAAGTATTGGCTGAGATATGACCATCTGAATAAATATATGTCCTATTGGCCAATACTTAATATATTCAATTGGTTTTCGACGTTCGGACATTATTTTTGATGCTCTTTCGGAAAACGAAGAAAAATTTGAGAAATTCTAAAAATAGATTTTTGATGACGTCACACTTCACCACTCTATAGGATTGATCAGAATAGAATATACAAACTTTGTCTATTCTTAAAATGCAAAAAATACATAAATATTCTTTATTTGGTAATGGATGTTGTTAGGAGATTTCCATAGAGGAAGATGTAAATATTTTCTTGAATTCTACATTTTAGTTTCAGTCCTACATGATCAAAATGTTGTAATAACTTTTTTCCCTCATTGTTTACTTTCTAAAATACACAGAACAATAAAGCCAGACAGGTTTAAAAATGCACATAATAATAATAGAGTTTACTTAAAGATAAGGTTGAGTTCTGGTCATGTGATTGCATTGTGAAAGAAACGGTGTGGAATCAATCAGAAAATTTTGATCATCTAGCATATAAGTATCGGTGTGTAGTGCAAGGTTCTGGAATCATTAAAAGGATAAGAAATTTGGCCAAGTCTAGATAAAGTTACAAGCATTGTACACAGAAAGATGTATATGGGAAAGATGTAAATCTGTCCCGATTTTTACGATGACACATGCCATATTTAGAATATGAAGGCATTTGAAGAGCCATGCTTTTCAGGGAACATTTGTCATCTGATGTTCTTCCACCCTTGCATAATAACAATGATAACGCTCACAAGTTGTGTTTCACCTCTTCCCAGAACTCAACCTTCTCTTTAAAGTCAGTGAACATATGATTGTACAATAAAATACTAGAATACTTACTATATCTCAGTCTCTCCTTTGTAGCTGGAAGGTCTAGTTTGGTTTCTGGTTCAAACAATTTATCCTCCTCATACCTCTCTGTTCCATGACAAAAAAGACAAAGGATTTTTATTTCATGACAATGCAAAAGGGATTCTCTTGTCATAGAGATGAACAAGATGATTGCAACTGTGTCTTTAAAGGTAATGCAAAGTTTTGAGAAATTTTGAAAATTGGATGGATAGTAATTCTTACAGTTTTGATATATTTTGATGCCCCTGTGGATGTACTATAAGCACTAGAAAATTTAGCCCCTTAAACACTTTTGCTTTTCGAGAAATTGAATAATTAAAAATTTACCAGTGCTCCCGGTAATTTCAAATAGCGCTTAAGGCCATTCCATGGAAGCTGCCATTATGAAAATCTTAGAATATGCAGTTCTGATATTTAATTACCAAACGGGAATAGCAAATCGGTAGATTGTAGTCAAGAAACATTGTTTTAAAGCTGAATTAATTTCAGTCTTGAGAGGGCGCTATACAACATAAAGAGTTTATCATTTACAATTTCATCACTTTAGACTCGATTTCAACTGCAACAATGATCATTGAATGTTATAAAATCGCATATACTTCCAATATGTTCAATTGAACCAAATTCATGACCCCATACCAAAACTTTGTATTACCAATAATATGTCTCCGTCCGTATGTTCATTGATAGGTTTGGATTGCTTCAATAGTTTTAAAGTTATCACAATAACATTATTTCAACACTTTCATGATCCTGTGACCTTTGACCTTATCCATCCAAATTATAATCATTTCATTCATCCTTGTATGCTCATTCATACTTCATCAAAAGTAAGTTTGAATTGCATTAATAATTTTCATGTTACCTTGATAACATGACGTACTAAGTGAAATCGTGTATCAGTAAATGTATTCAAATTTATGGATGCTTCCTTCCTAGGTGTGTGAGGTGATGAAGTATTCAATTCACCTGCTATTATCGATTGTACTACAATTGTCAGAACTCAAACATGAAACTTCATACATGAGGTGGTGCTCTTCTGGGAAGAAGGTTTGCCATTTACTTGATAAGCGACTTCACATAGCATGTCATGTTTTCAAGAAAATAGAGATGCCCATTTCGTGCTGAGAAACTGTACACTATTCTAGCTTTATACCTCTCTCATACACTTGGGTGGGGAATCTTGTAGATTAATTGGCAAGAATACAATAAATCTTTCAGAATAACTAATGTTATTTCTTAGGGTGAGGCTTCCTCAAATTCTAACATGAACCCATAATAATAATAATAATAATAATAATGTTTTATTTACCCAGGGTAGCCACTTCAGTTAAGAAACTGCTCTTCCAGCGGGCCCTGCATAACATAATGTTATTACTACCCTTCTCCAATCTAATATGCTGAGCGCCTAGCTAGAAGGCAGAAGGTTCCATTGTTATAAGTCTTTGGTATGATTCGGCCGGGGTTCGAACCCACGACCTCCCGTTCGTGAGACGGGCGCTCTAACCACTGAGTCACCATGCCCGGTGAGTTAGAATAATAAGAATAAGAATAATGGATGACACACCTTTTCTCCTGTCTTTGTGTTTGTTCTTCTTCTTTTTCTTCTTCTTGTGCTCACTCCTGCTGCTCTCATACAGACTGCTAGTAGAGCCAGATACAGATGCGGAGGATTTCTTGGCAAACGAGGGAGTAGGAGTTGTCTGTTGAGCACACTGTTGAAGGAGCTGAGAGAAGTGGTATGGTGATGATGATGTAGCTGCTGAGCCTTGAGGGTCATTAAGTCTGCCTAGCATCGTGGGCTTGGGTTGAGGTATCTGTTGCTCTGTAAACAGTAACAAATCATACATTCAAGGAATCTGTTATCTTATTTTACTTTGAGTAAAACATATTTTCAAACATTAATTTTGACATTGTAATTGATGCCCCACAAGCGGTAGTCTGCACCTATTGGATCCATCCCATTATGAGTGACTGACCTATATAGATCTACTTTAAAGATAAAGGTGAGTTCTAGTCATCTGATTGCATTGTGAAAGAAAAGGTGTGGAATGGATCAGAAAAAGTTGATCATGTAGCTTGTAAGTATTGGTGTGAACTGCAAGGTTCTGGAGTCATCAAAATCATAATAAATTTGGCCCAGTCGTAGTAAAGTAACAAGCACTGTACACAGAAAGATGTATATGGGACTACACAAATGGTGGCGGGGCTACTAAACTTGATTTCCTAATCTTTCTATGCTCATTACTCAGCCAGTATACATTTTCTACCAAAATTGTTTGGCAAATGACATTTATTTGTAATCTTGAACATTCAGTGTAACTTTTGTTTGATTCTGTGAAAATTAATTTCCTTTTTTTACCAGAACTCGCCTTTATATTTAATGGATGGGATTGTAAATTTAAACCTGCAACAAGATGAAAATGCCTCCGTCTGTATGTTCATTAGTAAGTGATCTTGTGATCTTTAACATTACACCTCACAAAATAAATTGATTCATTTAATCCGTTCATGCTTGTACACATACTTCGTTCAATTTTTGGTAAATTATTAGTATTGAGTATTAAAGGGATTGTATCATGGCAAATACTGGTTAACCCCATCTACGTCTTCTTTTGGACAACTGCACGTATACGAATGGACTGATTAACTGGGTCAGCACGTTAGTGTTCGCGAAACAGACCGAAGTTCTCCTCATGCTTCGGTTTTGCGTTTGTTGCACACATGTGAATGCTGCGGTCGCGTTGTCTGTAGTCGTACTATACCCGATTGGCCCTAAGTAGGGCCACGGGAAAGACATATAGTCTCATCATGACACACTCCCTTTAAGATGTTTTCTAGCATTTTTCAACATTTTTATGACCCAGTGACCTTTGACAAAACAATTGATCCTTTTATGCTCATTCATATTTCATCTAATTTGGTTTGAATTGTTTTAATGCTTCAAGCATCGTAACTTCCTTGGCAGTTTTTTATTCATATACATGTGTAGGAATATTTCAAGAAGTATCTTTATGGTTTATTTCACGACGTTTTCTTTTTGACGGTGCTTGAGATATGATCGCGTCTTGGGTTTTTGGATGTAGCTGGCTGTGTGTGGCGCATGCATATGTGAAGCTTACTGTACCCTCTACCACAAGGATTTTGAGAAATAGAAAAATAATATTTCAGATATTTTCATATTTTTTAACTTGAATGTTCATCACAGGTGAGGTTTATTTCTATATTCACAGGTTAAAGGTCAAGTTAATATCCCATTCATCAAAGGAGATTGATTTTTCCCATCATACTATTGTTGTTCGACCAGCATCGAGTCTGTGCAAGCCTTTTTAGTCAGTGACTTATATTTGGATAGATTGCCGATTACTTGGACGGTCTCCGCCTGTTTCAGCGCAAAATCCTGCATGTGGTGAAACTGATGCAACAGCCCTCAATGAAAATGGGTAAAGTAAGAGTGAACCAACAAAGGGTAATTATTATTCCTTTAAAACTTGTTATGAATCATTTCAATTCCTTGAATTCCTTTCGAATTTAGCCATTTGCATCTAGGAACATGCTATAAATCACTGTTGATGGGGAAGTAGTAAAACACTTTTGCTTTTTTCAACGATGGATAAAAATTTGGGGTACGGTTTACAATACAACGTTGTTAACTTATACATACCTGGTAGAATGTGGTCTGAATGTACTTTGGTCATTTCAACATATGGAAGATTATGTCGCAATTGATCTGGAGTTGGAACAGTATTGATACCAGCAGTCTTCTTGTCACCCTGTGTGAGATAATGAATATTCTCCATAGACAATTGTTGGGGGAATTATGTGACTTTTAAACTTAACTTGATTGAGTAAAAAAAAAAATCCATTTCAAAGATATGTGCAATAAAACATCATCTGGATATTTGGTGTTTTAATTATCTTTATTTCAAAATCAAGACTACTTTCGACAATGAATAGTGGGTAAGGAAAGATTGTAACTGCCTCATGCATATCAATATGACTAATTTTGCCTAATGAATGATATTAGGAATAAATGATTTTGTTTGATTTTATGTTCCCCAACCATTGAAAAGTTGAAAGATGGCTAAAACATATTAAGAAAATAAAGATAATAAAATTATTAAAAAAAAAAAAAGAAGAAGATTTTGAAACGATAGTAGAAAATGAAAGAATAGAACTATAAAGATAATCTGCAGAAAAGGTAGGAAGAAAAAAAACATGGACAGATAAAAACAGAGGTGAACAATGTTAACCTTGTTTTTAACCTTCCATCATGATAGAAAGACGATAGAAGGATTATAGGAAAGAATAACAAAGGGAAAGGGTGAGAAGATAATAGGGGACAAAAAAGACATAGAGATGACAGAAGATACAAGGAGGATGAAACTTCAATTATTGAAACATATTTGTGGCTTACACCCAGTAAATAAGATCGATTGATCAATCTATAATTGAAATTTCTCCCAGGAAGCATTACGTTTATTAAGTTATTGTCCTATGGCGGATTTATGAATATTAATAAGTCAGAATGAATCAGGAGAGCTTAGGTATTTGTTTCTAGTTCATGGTGACTGTGCCATGGACCAGTGATGGCCTGGTGGTAGAGTCGCTGCCCGGCAAGCAGTAGATGCAGGTTCAAGTCCTGCTGGTTCCAAGATTTTTTCTGACTTGTTTTTCAATTACAGATCGATCAATCAAAGTTATTTACTGGGTGTAAGCCACAAATATGTTGAAATAACAAGTATCATATAGTATAAACAGTATGCAAATTTATCAAGAGAGACAGAGAGAGGGAGAGAGAGATAGAATAGATGAATATTACATATATTTGACAATAAGAACCACATTCATCTTGATAATGCATTACCAAATCAAGAAGGGGCTTAAGCCTGGTAGAGCCTCTATAGATCCATTCTGTCTCTGCTCCTCTGGATGGTGTAGCCTCAAAGAGCATGTTAGCAAGACTACCCTGTACCTCAAGCACTCTAGCATTCCACCTGATAAATAGTGGTTAAAAAAATGCTACGGTCACAAAGGTTCGTACGTACGATAATTTTGTACGAATCTCCGTTTTTCCATTGTCTGAACATTTTTCGTACAGCGTTCGTAGCAGTTCGTAATGGCATTTGTGATCGAGGCTTAAGCAGATGGAGAAATAATGCCTCAGTCACACCTTTGCGTATTTGGCTTGCGTATTGCTGGATATTTATGGCAAGCCGTTTTAAAGGCCGTCAGTACTACTTTGGCTAGGAGGGATTAGACCACCAAGGAAGGTCACTGACAGGTGGCTATCTCATCAACTCAGCTCTCAGTTAACATAAGAAAAAGAGGATCATGGTCACCAATTAGGCATTGTTTTCTATACAGAGGAAGCAAGTAGCTACAAGTAGTACGGTGGGCCTTTAACATTTATTTCTTTTTCGTGTTATCAAGAAATAATTTTCTGTTGTAAAGGAATGGTAATTCTTGATATCAAGAAATATTTAAGAAACATCGTTTTATAGCTTGAGTAAAACTTGACCTTTAGTGGGAGCTACATGTATACACCATAGAGAGTGTATTATTTACAATTTCATAACTTTAGACTTGATTTAAACCACGACAACAATCATTGAATATTGTACGATCGCATATGCTTCCAATATGTTCATTTGAACCATACCAAAACTTTGTATTACCGGTACCTTTAACAAAGACTCCTCTATAAACACCTACATCTCAATCTTCACTCATGCATGAATATCATCCATCCCTCAATCTCTTTATCCCTCCACGATCATGTTTCACAAAACTTGATACCCATATATTAACAATCATGGTAACTGTTATAAGCTACTGAAATTGTTGCATTTGATTGGCTGTGAGCAAATTTGATACCAAACTGTAACATTTCTTATTGACAAAAGTATTATGAAACAGGCCTGGCCCAGGGGCCCGTTTCATAAAACTTGTTATCTATAACAAATGCTAAAATTACATATTTGCTCTCAGCCAATCAGATGCCATGATTCAGTAGCGTATAACAGTAGCTGGTAAGTTGTTATTGATATCAAGTTTTATATATTCTGAGATATCCATACACTGACCATTTGCCATTCCATTCTGTAGTGACCACTTGATCCCTCTTGAGATTGACCATTGCCCGGTCAGGGTACTTATCTAGATATTCTCTGATGAAATCTCGGAGAAAATATCCACATCTGCCCAAACACAGGCGCCTGAGGGAGAAGGATGTCCAAATGACACAGTCAAAACACATGTTCATAACTAGGTATTAAGAACTTTATACTGTACTTAAAGTGACTCGTTAAAAACTGCGTAATTTTTGTATGAAATGTTACTTATTATATTTCTTTTACTGTACTAACCCTCTAACATGCAAAACATCCTGAACGAAATTCTCAAACCACAAAGATATTTATGGTTTTCTTTGAAGGTGTCGCACACTGTGCGACACCCTCTAACAGTAAATTCTCCCAAGCAAGATACTCTAAGCATAATGTACAGTTTTTCAGCACAACATGGGCATTGCCATTTTCTTGATAACTTGACATAATACCGTATGTGAAGTTTAAATTCATGGATGCTTCCTTCCTAGGTGTGTGTGGTGATAGAGTATCTCATTCACCCGCTATTATCCTTGTCGAAACGAAAATTGTAGAAATAGCTTGGTGCTCTTCTTGAGAGATTTTGCATAAATGAAATAGATTTGCCAACTGCTATATTTTAGTATTTTAAACTTAAAAGGGTTCCAATAGTTCACTATATAAATAAAACCAGGGTTTAAGACATTTGAGAATATAAGAAAAATCTCTCTTTTCACACAATACTTACTTGAATGATAGACTATATGGATCTTCTCACACGATAGATATTGAGCGTAACCATCGTCAAAAAACACCAAATATCTGCAACAAAAGAGGTGAGGCGTACTCAACAATGCTATAACATTGACAGGAACTTGTGAAGAAATCTTGGAACATGTTTTAAAATTTATTTTATTGAAATATATTTATTCAGGATAACAAGAATCAGATATACATTGTAAATACAAAATCTGTTTTACATCATGGTCCTGAACAGGATAAAAATGTAGAACACAGAAATATACATAATGAATATCACCAAAGTTCACAAGCAAAGGTAAGAACAGTATAAAACTAACATATAAGAATAATACGCATTAAAAGTAGTAAAAAGCACAAAACCAAATACAAAAAACGACAATGTGTAATAATTGAAATTAACAGCAGAAAAACATAAAATCGCTTCAAAGGGATCCGGTAACTTTGTCTCAGATTCTGAAACAAAATTCTCGATTTAGCTCATGCTGCAATGATAATTATAAACCTTTAGGTCAGTCAGGAACTTCATGATTTTTACAAGTCGATCTCCTGTCTGATTATCAAGATATTTATGATTGGAAATACAAATTTTAAAAACCATTTGCCAAACGGTTTTCATAACACTGCAGTCTATTGAGGAAAACGAGTATGGTAAAACAGGTCACTCAAAGATTTTTACTTTTTTGATGCACTTCTTGATCATTTTGAAGCACATTTTTTTTAGGGCTTCAATATTACACCATATCACAGACACTGATAACACGTAGAGCCGTGCATCTCAGATTTAACATTGTTAAATGATGCCTTTAAACTGAAACTAACCTTCCTCTGTTGGTCTTCATAGGAACCTCTGCTATGATACCAGCATACATCCCTTTTGTCTTTGCCCCTTCCTCTACCAAATAAGAAGCTAGGGAAGAAAACAGGCAGTTCAATTAAAATAACAAGAAATAAATCCAAACTGGGAAAAATAATGTCAGCCAACAAATAATGTTTGTTTCTTCATTCAACCAATTTAATCTTCAGAATCTTTAAGAATCGCCTACATATGAGGCGGAAAAACCATGGCGGGAGTATTTTTTTTTAAATGGTGAAAATAAAAGCCATTCGTAAAGCACCTCGATATTAAACTATTAAGAGTAAATAGTGTAAAATGCACACGGTAGAGCCTTTCTATGCTTGACAGATCTGTGGATAGTTACGATCATTTGGTAACTATTTCAATTTCAATTTCAATTTATTCATGTTTCCAACAAAACATTACAAATCAGTTATAAGCATTTAAAACAAATGTAAGAAATACATGTTGGAAACAGAGGGGTCCACTAAAAAGCAATGCTTGCACAAGTGTGAACACCTCAAATGATACTTAAGAATAATGAGTAATTAAAGGGACTATGTTCCATTTGCAGGTCAAAAAATGAAAAAGTTAAATTCCAACTGCATTTGAAAGATAATACTAATTTAGAACTTCCCGAAAAAAGGTGGGGCTTGAAAATGTCTTCAAGTGGGAAAATAATGACTATTAGTTGTCAAATCGACTTTAGGGCTATAGAGCCCAAAAGTAATAGTCTTGATTTTCAGACAATTGTACCGAATGGTCATACGTTTTATGCTGCGCAAAGATTCAATCAGTTTAATCTTGGCCATCACAAGAAGTGGGTTATTGATGTAGACAAATACTCATGTACCCTTTACAACTCTTTTCATGTATGTTATTACCAAAGAAGAAAAAAGCCAGTCAGTCACTCAATAGTGTCTGACAGTGAAGTCTAGCAAGTAAACGGTTTTCCTTGCATAATTTGAATATGAGGACACTGCTAACATTTAAATTTCACAGATAAGACATACATGACATATTCATAATTCCTGCAAAGTTGTACAGCAATTGAGGTTGGCTGCAAAAGGGACATAGTACCTTTAAATCAACTAATCCGTAACTACAAAAGGAACTACAAAATAGGGAAAAGAAAAAGGGGGATGCCAACAGAGACCAGAAAGGGACAAGACAATGCTTTACACGGTCATAATACCAAGAGTAGACAATGACAAAAGGAAGTGAGAGATCAGGGGTACAGAAAATAATACAAAATGTAGGTTAAGACTTACCAACTACTCTAATACCAACGGCAAGGTCACCTGGCTTAGAGGGCGTAATGACAGCTAAGAACTTACTGGACAACAGTCGCTTCCGGCCATGCTCAAATTTCACCTTGTACTTTTTCTGTTAAAGATAAGGACCAGTCATGGTCAAGCGATTGCATTGTGAAAGAAACGTTGTGGAATCGATCAGAAAAGGTTGATCATCTAGCATATAAGTATTGGTGTGTACTGCAAGGTTCTGGAATTATCAAAATGATAAGAAATTTGGCCAAGTCTTGGTAAAGCTACAAGCACTGTACACAGAAAGATGGGTATAGGACTAGGCGACACATGCGCGATATCTATCAGGTCCAAATAGATATAATAATTCACCAAATATATCAATTAGTAGGCGGTTTCTCGGCAAAATTTGTATGATCACGTATTAGTCAAAACATATTCTTTAACATGACTGGTAATAAGAGCTTCCATAACATTTTTTGAGAGGGGGGAGTTTCCAAAACTGGTCTTTCTCTGTTAGGAGAAATCAACCATGTGTACATGTTTTGCTCTTGATGTAAAGGGTTCCATGTGTCCATACTGTACTCAGAATATGGGCTTGATATAATCATTTTATAAAGAGATATTGCAATTTAAATACAATCTGAATACACCTTTGTGTGTCCATTTTTTAAACTGTATATTAGTTGCAACTTGTCTTTAATAAAACATTGTTGTATTCTTTTCATGCAAAGTCAATTTCAAATGGATTGTAGTATTGAAATGATTTGTTATATTACAGTGTATATTCTTTTTCATGTGATGTTACCTCCAATGAATTGCCAAAATGTGAACATGAATGAATGATTGATAAAATAAATAAATAAATAAACAAATCTCAGTGAAGAGTTTGAATGTCTTGTTGAATAGACTAGTTAACACATGCATACGCACTTGCATACCATAAGGTACTTGAAGGAACCTGTGCGAGTCCTAAACACAAGGTTTCATGTTATCCTTTATTTTCTTCATACTTCTTAATTGTTTACCCAGAGAATGCCAGGTAAAGTATTATAGGTTGACTTATAGCTATACAAAAAACAAAAAAAAATCTTCAGGGACCCGTTTCTCAAAACATTTTTTCAATGACAAATAACAAAAATCAGTGACAAATCTGCTAATAACCAATCAGAAGCAAGGATTACAGTAGCTTATAACAAAAACTGTCATTTGTCACTGATGACAAGTTTTGTGAAACACCCCCAAGGTGATTGGTAGCTTGAATGAATTTGATTTAGAAGCCTTCCCCTGCATTAGGCCAAATCCTTAGATTTAGGAAAGCTAATAATCTCACTTCTTGTAATTAAAAACAGCCTCATGGATTTAAAAAAAATTAAACATCGAAAATAATATCCCTAATGACGTTCGTTTGTCTCGCAATGTATGAAAGATCACGACATTTCGTGTGCCGCTGCTACACTTCAACGGGTGATAAAATATATTGTAAGCAAGCGTCTCAATCCCAATAATTTCAACAGAGACAACGGGATCGATATCCCTGAATTTTGGATGCGTTCGATACGCCGCCATAACTCCCCATCCAGCCGGCCTGCATCGAGCCAGCGGCTTGTTGATTGGTTGAGCAAGCTATTGTTCCCGCCTGGCAGGCGAGATGAACCAGCGGCCTGTTGCTTGGTTGAGCACCCGTGTGCTTCGGCCAATAAGCTTTGTCCGTTATTGTTCTAATTGTTATTGTTATTTTATCACCTGACGAAGTGTAGCAGCGCCACACGGAACGTCGTGCATCTTTTAAATCCCTTGTGGACCATACATTGCGAGACTAAGGCTGCGACCGGTAGTCGAATGCTCGAGTACCTGCACGGTTGACAACTACTCGGGTACGATTTCTTGTACCCGAATATTCGGCCGCAAAAAAAAAAAATTTAAAAAAAATAAAAATAAAAAAAATAAAAATGTCCAGGCCCACGCTTACCTGTGCCAGGGAGAGCAGCGTCCGCTGGCATGGTACCATCGGTAAAAATGTTTCCCAACTCAAGCACTGTCAAACTCACCTTTCAGAAACTGGGATCAAATGTCCAGATTTCTGTTTGGACTTGGAGGAAAATGGATTATTCTGCCATCTTTGGTTTTTAAAACAGCATTGTTTACTGTTATTATTCTTATTAAATCGGCGCCTTCAACTGCAAATCAAAGTAAAGTTGCATGCGTTTTCAGCGAGGGACCTGAGAAACTGCCGAGTAGTATGGTAGTGGCAAAAAAAAAGAAAAAAAGGACAAAAATAAAAAAATAAAAAAAAATTAAAAAAATTAAAAAAATAATAAAAAAATAAAAAAAATAATAAAAAAACATGGCGTCCGAATATTCGAGTATTCGCCTGTGAGCCTGGGAGTGTACTCGGGTACCTCATTACACTGTTGTGCACAGCCCTATGGGAGACAAACGAATGTTATTAGCAATATTATTTTTGAAACATTATACATGTTTATTATAAAGCAGAGAGCATTATAATGAAATATACATTACATTTAATTCAAGTAAAAATGAGGAAATAGCAAGCTGACCAACCGACATGAGAAGCTTACCATTCCTTTATGATGTATAGGAGGACCAATGAGTGTTCCTGGAAACCAGAAACTTTCCTCCCCCTTGGCTAGTACCTTCTTTCCTTCAACAAGTTCTGGTAACCTGTCATGGAAGAAACATATGCAGCAGATGTGAGGTAACATGAAAACTCAAATATGCTATTACCATACCATCAAATTCTGTTCAGAAAGGCTCTTTAAAAGAGAAAGTGGAGTTCTGGGAAGAGGTGAAAAATAATTTGTGAGCGTTATCATTGTATTAAGCAAGTGTGGAAGAACAACAATTTAAAGAATATTTCTGAACCATTTGCTTCATGTGCAACATTGCATCTTGCCGACATATTGTCTTTCCATCAAAATGCAGTTTTATTGACAAGC